AATTATTATAAATAAGACATGAATCAAGAATTTTATTTAATAACTAAACTCTTGTAACCAACTTTAAAAATAAAACTCTATTATAAATTAACCTTATCATTAATAAATTAAAAATAATATATATTCTTATATACCCAACCATCTAATTTTTGCACTCAAATTCATCTCATTAAAATATTTTATTCTTTTATTGCTTCTAATAAAATGCCTCCAAAAAGAGTAACTTTATCTAATTCTCAAAAATATGAATTTTGTTTATTCTAGCCAACAAATAAAACTGGTTAATTCTCTTGATAGATAGACTAGTTTGAAAACAATAAATACAATGAGGCAAAACTACAATAGAATCTTACCTTAATCAACAATTATATAAATTTTATTTTTAGTGATAATGATAATTAATTAATAAATTTTTATTTTTATATAACCAATGAAATGCTTTGTTTCTCTAAGTGCAAACACCCTCTAAGTGCACGCTATCACTCATTCCCAAGTGAGGTGCACTTAGAGGGGATTGACTGTAATATGAAATTTCCTCCGTATTTTTATAATAAATTGATCAGCGTATCTCTGATATCGTCAATTAAATTTTTAATCTCTCCCCCATATTTTTTTCTAAATTTGAACGGCCTTAATATGTGAGGGTTTCTTGAGGGATTCAGAATCTCAGAATTATTAGGAATTCTGGAACCGGTTCTGGACTAACAAAATTGGAGATGATTTTCTGGTGAGAAACTATTAACAATTTTTTAAATGGTGTTACTTATTATTATTATAGTTAAGCGGTTACGTATGGAACACAGAATTTATAATTGGGATTTCAAAAAATCGTTGAAACGCGATTAGTAATAGTAAATCTTGTTTCAACGAATTTTGAATGAAATTTCCCAGAAACTCATTGTAACAAGGTTATATACTGTACTAAACAATCAAACTATAATATCTGAAAAATATAAAATTGGAGTTCTAATTTATCATTACTTCTTGAATCATCATGACAAGAAATCCGCACTGGAAAAAATTTTAATAAATACAGAATAAATAGTTGTAATAGTTTTTCATTAACTAATAATTCACTTTCCTTTTCAATGCTTTAAATTCTTTATAATCTAATTGATTTTATTATGAATATTTGGGAAAATGATATTGTTTTGTTAAAAATTTATAAAATAATCTAACAATTATTTTATTTTAGAAACTTGGAAAAATTTCGCACACATTTGGATAAATAAGTCTATCAATCGTTTTTATTTTAGTAACTTGGAAAATTTTATTACTCGCAAACATTTGGACAAATAATCTATCAATTGTTTTCTTTTTTGATTTATTGAATTATTTTAGAAATTGGATAAATTTCATGTGTTTATATGTTACGTGAATCCGCCTAGTAGAGACCCATCAAAAATCCGTTAACATTGTGGAACAAATTTATTAATAATAATAAAATCCGTTGTAACAAGAAATCCGCTGTGGCAAGGGCCGCTGTGACGAGGTTGACTGTATATATTTTATAAGTGATGAGAAAACTACTTTTAACTTGCAAGTTTTTTTTTAAAAGAACCTTCTAACAGGACATCAAATTTTTTATCGCACAATTGGATAGGTTCTAAAAAAAGTAGTAAGCATCTCGCAAAAATTTGGTTTTTGGGATACTTACGTGTGAGCCGGATAACCCAGAGTGTTACGTAATTTTTTTATCAACAGCATCCATCAACCAATTTTTAATAGGGATCTACATTTCTAACTCGCATAAATAAATATAGTTTTCCTTTCATCCCATTTAAAAAAAAAATGTTGCAAATATTTAGAATAAAACATAAAGTCGACCTTTTATGGTTTCGCCGTTTTGTTGTTCTTATATTGTTATCATTGTTAGTTACTTCCTTTATAGTATCGATTATTAAAATAATTCGTGAAAACCCTACTATTAGTAATTCATACGAACCAACTGAGCAACTAACTGTACCAGGTAAAATATTTATTTTTAAAAAAATACTCGCAAAAACGAACGATATATGTTTTCTAAACATTAAAACCACACCAATCAATGTAGCCATCTATTTTTCTTATGATAAAAATTTTACCATAACGTCTTGTCGACTTTTGGATTATAAAGGTGATCGTAAGTAGAATTTTAATTGCTTTAGTAATATTATTATTATACATTACATATATACATCTGACTCAAATCTTCAAAAAGTAAAAGATTATTGTAATGAATACATTACGCAACCAATAATGTCAGACATTGGTGACAAAACTCGTCCTTTACTTGGAAAATTTTTACCAAAAGGCAACATGAATTTGACCAAAAATAATAATGGAACAGATCGGGTCAAGCTTTTAATAAACAACCCTGGTCCTTATGACACTGGACGTTGGACCATAGCAATGAATTTATTTGATTCGCGTAAGTTTTTTTTCATAAAATTGATGGTAGATCTTGGTTAATTTTTCTGTTTGATAAATTAAATATAGGATACGATCCACGGAGTGAAGGTTTTTCTGATCTAGAAGATCCATTCGTTGAAACCCTTGATTATATGAATTTATATTTTTTATCTATAGATAAGGTATGTGCACTTGGTATCATCATTTAAAAAGGAGATAAATTTGCCAAACTGACTATAAAAAATCAATAGTATTATGATTTAATATACGCTAGCAAAATCAGAAACAGGATAGCTCAACCAGCTTTAACTTACATTGGCTTTGAACCAACATACTCTACACAATATTACATTGAATCAAGTATACGTAAGAATATTTCTTTATTGCATCTTTTTAACCTTTTTAAATACTGATGTTGCTTGTATTAATTAATAACCCACAGAGGATACAAATTTGAAAAATGGGATGGACTACAATCTACTTGTGGAGATTGAACCAGGAAGCTTTATGATAGAAGAGGAAACAGAACAAAGGTAAAATTATCTTGAATGAATCTATTTGGCTGCCATTTATCATGTCCTCGTTAACATATTCATATTCACATTTGCATGATAATAATATATAATAGGAGCAATACTGTAAGTAAATAATATTTAAAATTTTGTTTTTTTGAATAATAATTATTATATTCATCTATCATTCGGATAAATAGATTATAACCACACTAGGAAGTATTTCCGGTTATTATAGCATTATTGTGTCTTTTTATGTATTTTTATTTGGTAAGTTTACTTTTTCTTTTTAAGTTTGAAACATTGTGTTCCATAATTTTGCTCACTTATTTTAAAAATTTCTAGGAAGTGATGTAATCATACCATTAGGCTTTGTATATAGTCAATACTGCTGCATGTTCAAAAGACACCAAGATGAAGCCAAAGAAAATCTCTTACCACTTGTGAAAGATCTACCATCTGACGCGGAACCAACACTCTTAACACTTTCAAAAAGAGTTGAACAAATGGAAAAATTTAAATTATTCCTTAAAGAGAATATTCTTGACTTGTCATCGTTAGAGTCTGGAGAAGGTGATACAAACAAAAACCAAGTAATGGCAGCAGTAATAGAAAAAAAAGTTGATGCAGCAACAAACAAAAACGAACAATAGCAGAATTAACCATGACAATGTCTTTAACATCACTATTATCTTAATTAGGGTCTAATTTAAATCAAAGAAAAAACATCATATTAGTAATTATCACTGGATGATAATTCATTTATATTTATTATATTTAAATTGAACTGATCCAAATTATACTTGCCGCCCATACTCAAATCCTTAAAATCCCATCCCATCCCATCCCATCCTATCCCATCCAATCCCATCCAACCCCAACCCAACCCCATATCCCAACCCATGTCCCATATCCCATATCCCAACCCATGTCCCATTGATAGAATTAACAAAATATATGTATATTTATTAATAAAAAAATTTTATCATTTATAAAAATTATTAAACCATAAAAACAATTAAAAAGAGAAATAATTCTGTAATTACAACAGAAAACAATAATTAATCAAAATTATGATTATCTAACAATTCATCAATGTCAAAATTTGTATCTTCATGATCAATAACATTTTCTTCATAAATTTCATTTGATAAAATATTATTATTAGACAATAAACTTGAATTCAAATCAATGCTTTCAGTAATAATTAAATGGCTATCATTAACACCATCCAAATTTATAACCTCTTCATCACAATTATCATCAAGATGACTAACATCTTCAAGATTATCATCTTGTCCAAAAAGATCATTTCCATTGGTAATTGATAAAGCAATTCGGTTAAATGTTTCATCAAGTTCTTCAACTGAAATTTCTTCAATTTGAATTATTATTTAATTGTATGACAAAAATATGATTGGTTAATTCGAGATGGGATATGTGGTGTGGGATGGGGATTGAGTGGGGATTTTACTAACATCAAAGCCCCACCCGCCCATACCCAATGGGATTGGGGATTGTCCCATATCCCTTAGTATGGGCGGCAAGTATAATCCAAATCAAACCAATAAACCATTGAGTTTATCCAAAAAAATTTAAACATAAATATGTAATGTTTTCAATTCCAACAACCATTATTTTTCTCTATTTCTACTTCTCAAAGAGTAGATTAATATCCCTCTGACCAAAACTGAGTTTTTTGTATATATTAATATCTGAAAAAAAAAATAAACCAATTGATTATTATACACATATTGAGAATATCCGAATCAAGATTAGATATCTATATAATTAAAAATTGCTTTCACATCCTGGGTACTCCTATTGATTATAACTATATTTCCACCTTTATAATGTGCATATACTTATCCCGGTTTTTAAATTGCATATACTGCTTAGGATTATCAGTGAATCTTCCTTGAGTTCTACGTCTGTTATTTTTAGATTTGCGAGACATATTTGGATATCTATATGGATAAATGATTTCAATTTTTTGCAAAGTGATCGGCATGAAGATTCTTCACGCGTGTGATTTTTCATTTTAAATAAAACTATCCTTATATAAAAAAACCGTTATCGAACATGTCATCAGAGCTTGAATTATTGAGACAGCGAGTTACTAAACTTGAGGCAGAAAATACTGGATTAAAACAAATCATAGGAGAAATTGCTAATCTTAGGATCGAAAATACAAGACTAAATCAAATCATAAAGTTAAATCGAACTGCTAATGACTCTTTACAAATACCTATTCCACCGCCAATTAATGACTACTCTGATGAAGCTGACTCCGTAAATCTAGAGCAGACACAAATTGCTATTTCTCCCGAAGTTAATTCTAATAATATCTCTGGACATATAGCTAATACATCTGATAACGCACCAAGTTCTGATGTAAGTCAACCCATTCGTACAGATCCTAAATCGTCGGAAGATAAAACGGTTGATGATTTTCTGGATCTGAAAGAAAAGGAAAGGGTTAGTAGTATGATGAGGGAGAGAAACAGAGAAAAGAAACTTCGAGATCAAGAATCGATACAAAAAATATCTTGTTCTTCTAGAACATAAGCGAGACTTTGAGTTGACACTGGGTATTCCTACCACTCCATATAAAAAAGAACTAAAGGTGCAATCTTTAGCCCTTATTGAATATGGGTAACTTTACCGAGTCCTTGACACCATTTTATATATATTACAAAAAGGTTAACTAACTTGATTTGTTAAGTTTTCTTATGCAGAAATCGTGGGTTGCATAACAACGAAACTTTATTAGTCTTAAAAAAAAATTTTAATTCGGTAGTTACTATACAATTTAAATCAAAATCAAATAACTGTCAAGTCGTAGTGTAGTTTCATATTCTGATACTATTTTTAGTCATATCTTTTGTGCTTGATTTAACTGGTGTTATAAATGTATTTGTTACAGTATTGGTGAGTGGTTTGTGATATTCATCATCATTGTCATCGTCAAGAAAGTTTTTTAAATTTAAATCATTCTTCTTTTCAACAGCATCCATTGTAGCAATAATAACAGATCGTGCATATAAGATCTCTTTCAACACCAGTGCAAGAGGCTTTGAATTTGTTAACCTGCCAGAAACTTCTTGAACGTTATTACGATTAATCCGAGTGATATATCCGAAGGGGTGATCTCCAGTTAAAACTTGTAATCTATTTGCACCATGAAGTATTCCTATTACTTTCAATTTTTTTACTA